CTTTACTAAATATTGGTCTTTGACTATAAAAAATAATGTGGAATCTGATTTTTCGAAAACCAATTAACAGAATGTAACTAATGTCTACTGAGACTGTCTTATCCTTTGATTAAAGGCCTGAGGCCTACAGCAATGAGGAGAGGTTAGCGACATCTTACTAAAGGTAGCGTGAGTTTCACAAGTATTCTGACATAGATTTAACCCAGAGGTCACCGTAGAGATGAGATGAACACAGACACACACTCACACCCTATGACTGTATGATGAAACAGCAGTGTCATACGTTCCGTTTCTCTATACAACACTCTAATGATGGGAACTGTGCATCATCTTCCTCCAGACTAATAACTGTCAAACATGTGTAAGAATTTGCTCATTTAGGAAATGTTCAGTCTAAAGCTGTGAGAACTGATCTCAGACAAGTCTGACTTGTAAGCAATCAGCACCATGTTAGAAATGAATAATAAAAAAGAAGGCGGCTGTGAAAATAAATGTTTATCCTTTTGATCTTTTATTCAAGAAAAATCTAACCTTTCATTGAAGTAAAACAAATGAAGGAGGATCTCATTATGAAATAAATGTGTTTCTCCAATTCATGGTGGCCATAGTTATTGGCCCCCTTTTACTGAATACTATTTGCAATCTTCATTTGCCAAGATAACAAGTCTTCTTGTATAATGCCAGATGAGGTTGGAGAACGCCTAACAAGAGTTTGGAGACCATTCTTCCATACAGAATCTCTCCAGGTCCATGTTGATGCTTCTCCTCTTCAGTTCAAACCACTCATTTTCTATAGGCTTCAGGTCAGGGGACTGGGATGGCCATGGCAGAACCTTCATTTTGTGCTCTGTGACCCATTTTTGTGTTGATTTTAATGTTTGCTTTTGGTTTATTGTGCTTGTTGACTCGTACAGCTTGAATAAACTGGCAAAGACTGCTTCTTCATTATCTGTGGCTTTATTGACCACGCACGCACATCACACGGCCGTGATACATACTTAACATACGACTACCACACCGAGAGGGGGGCAGGGCCAGATAGAGAGAGGCCACGCGATCACACATAATTAGTGATGTCACACACATCGATGCACTACAGTCCTGTTGGAGGATCCAACCAATGCTTATTATAAGATTTCTAGCCGAGTCAGTCAGTTTTTGATGTTTTATCTGTTGGCATTTGATAGAATCCATGATACCATGCATCGGAACAGAAAAACGCACACAACATGAACTATGCAGTAGTATATTTAACTGTAGGCGTGGAGTACTCTTTTTACCCTTGTGTTTCCCTTAAACCCATCTTGTGTGTGCCAAAAAGCACTTTGGTAGCACTTTATTTTGATGGTCCCCTTTGAACATTCTGTTGACAATAAGTAATGTTGCACATACTGTACATGTCTACTAACTCTCATCAGAGTATTAGCAGACTGTTTGCTTAATATCTGCTAACTCTTTATTGTCATGATCTACCAACAGACATTCTACTGACTATAAGTAACTTTGCAAGTACATGTCAACTAATTCTAACCCTACCAGTCTATTAATACTCTACTAATACGCTATGAGAGTTAGTAGACATGTAGGTGCAACTTTACTTATAGTCAACAGAATGTGTTAAAGGGACCATCAAAATAAAGTGAAACCAGCACTTTTTTTGTTTCATCTGACCATAGAACCATGTCCAGTTTTAAGTTCCAGTAGTGTCTGACAACTGAATATATGCTGGAGTTTGTTTTTGGATGAGAGCAGAGGATTTGTTTTCTCCTAAAAAAAAACTCCCAAACAGCATGTGGTGATGTTGATGTGATGATCTTGATTGATTGATTGATTGATTGATTGATTGATTGTGGATGAGAGCAGAGGATTTGTTTTCTCCTAAAAAAAAACTCCCAAACAGCATGTGGTGATGTTGATGTGATGATCTTGATTGATTGATTGATTGATTGATTGATTGATTGATTGATTGATTGATTGATTGATTGATTGATTGATTGATTGATTGATTGATTGATTGATTGATTGATTGATTGATTGATTGATTGATTGATTGATTGATTGATTGATTGATTGATTGATTGATTGATTGATTGATTGATTGATTGATTGATTGATTGATTGATTGATTGATTGATTGATTGATTGATTGAGACTTTTTGACTCCAAGACTCAACTAATATCTGCAGTTCTCCAGCTGTGATCCTTGGCCACTCAAACTCTCCTCCTCATCGTGCATTAGGATGATACAGACACACATCTTCTTTCAGGCAGATATGGAACATCTCCAGTTGATTGGAACGTTTTAATTCTTGCCCTAATGGTGGAAATTGGTATTTTCGATGCTTTAACTATTTTTCTTACTGCCACTTTCTATTTAGTGAAGCTCAACTATCTTGTTCTGCACATCAGAACTATATTCTGTTGTGGTGGATGATTAATGGAATTTGGCTTGGTATTAACTCATATTTATACTCCCATGAAACAGGAAGTCATGGCTGGACAATTTCATGTTCGTAGTCACCCTGGTGTGCTAATCTGTGGAATGCAAAAGAAGATATTTTTGAACAATGGAAAAAATACTGAGACTTTTCTTTTTAGCTTTGTGTGTGTGTACTGGTTTATATATCCTGGTGGGGACTTAAACCTGACTACACACAGACTCATGGGGACTCGTGTCACGGTGGGGACCTAAATTGTGGTCCCCACAGGTACAAAAGCTTATAAATCATACAGAATTAAGTTTTTTGAAAATCTAAAAATGCAGAAAGTTTCCTGTGAGGGGTAGGTTTAGGGGTAGGGTTGGTGTAGGGCAATAGAATATACGGTCTGTACAGTATAAAAACCATTACGCCTATGGAGAGTCCCCACAAGGATAGCTGACCAGACTGTGTGTGTGTGCGTGTGTGTGTGTGTGTGTAAATAATGACCATCTTTTTTGGGTGAACTACTTTTTGTTCTGTCTAGGTTTCATTCATTTTATTATATATTTTAAGGTGCCATAGAAAGGAAAACTGTATTTACCTTGGCATAGTTGAATAATAACAGTTCTGTACATGGAAATGACATACCGTGAGCCTCAAACACCAGTTTCCTCCTTATTATGTAAATCTCGCGCATGCAAAAGACCACTGAAAAATAGGCGAATCAGAACATAACACCGACTGTGACGTTACAGTCGGGATCACTAATAGTTACGCCCCCAATATTTGCATATACCCGCCCATGTTCTATGCCAGCCGACAGCTGAACCTGCACAGCCGAATCATTAGAAGTTCTGCAGGTATTGTGAAGAAACAAGCGAGGATAATAGCAAAAATGGCAGATCATGGAAATAAATGTTATGTTCCAGGCTGTGCAGGGGATGTGATTTGTAGGGATGGGTTGGTGTCTGTATTCAGAAAGGCACGGAAGACAAATAATGCGCATTCTAATAAAATAACGCGAGCCACTAAAGGGACATTGTTAGCTGCTTGCTAGCGGTAGCCTGTTACATTACAGTACATAAGATTTCACTTACCACATAAACAGAGTAAGGAAAGATGACTGAGGATGATGGCAAATGATTTACAGATCCTGAGCACCACTGACAAGCATCTGATCTTGTCAAATGTGTGGTAAGTACTGCCGCTGTAGATTACACAGAGCACATGCTATCACAAATCTCGAAAGTGAGTGTAAAAAGTGATCGGGCATTCAAAAGCAGTTTCGATGCCCCGCATATTAATAGCGGCTCCCTGATGCCCACATTTTATATAAAGTATAATTACCCAACGATATAACTGCGAGAGACAGTATTGAAATATATATTTTCCCTGTGTTTCCTTCCTGCTGTGTGAGCTACTGAAATGAGCCGCACTGTGAAACAGCCAATCAGAGCAGAGTTCAACATTATTATTCATGACCCTTCCAAATAAGGTAAAAACAGACCACTTAATTCTAGGGACAAATCCTAGGGTTGTAAATGGACATGTAAAACCGTTTCTGGAGATTTTTTGCCCTTACCTAAGCCACATACCTTCTATGTAGATATCAGAGAACAATTTAAAATATTGTATCAATGCATTCTATGGCACCTTTATTATATTAATTTAGTTTTTATATATCCATTTTCAAAATATAATAGACTTGCAGTCGTGGATGTGTTCCAATCTGTCAGTAAAGGATGCCATCATGAAGAGAAACTGAAACAGTGTCTTGCAGTTCAGAAGAATCTGACAGTATGGAGCATATGAGTGCGACAATATTGTGAAATGGAAAAACTTGACCCATGCTATCACACCAGCAAGCAAAACTCCCCAACAAACCTCTTAGGTGAAGTAACAGTAGGATGTCAGCTCTTCCTTCCTATTTTGCTTCATTAGACAACTGGTCAACTTTAGAAGATATATTTATATAAATATACTGAATTAAAAAATAAAAAATAACTATTGATAGACTGACTTGTCCTATTGGCATATTAAAAATAAAATACTTTTTTCAGCATACACTGAATTCATATCAATTAAATGACTGACAGCAAGGTTAGAAATTAAATATCATGCAAGAAGGTTTTCAAACAGAGATTCCCCCATCTACATTTACATATATTAATTTAGCACATGACATTTACACCCACTGTCACAAATGAGTGATAAAACAGGAAAATGAAATCATTCACAAAAATAAATGCGGCTGCAATGGACTGGATGCAGCCCATGCAGTTTAAGTTCTGCTTTATTGACTATTTAAGGCGAACCGGTAAGAATCTTCAATATATTCTCTCTGACACAAGAAGTGAGAGCTGAAGATCGACTGTGACAATGAAGACACAAAGGATCCTCATGAGGAGTTTAGCAGTTGCGGTGGTCATTGCATCTGTGATCTGGACTACAACAGGTAACGGCTTTAACTGTTCATACATTATTCTATCTGATGGAAGGATGCAGAATATTGAGGCTTACTTGGTTCTTCTATCTTAGCGCAACATAAGGTGAAATCATGCTGTACTAAAGTCTCCAAAGCAAAGGTGAACGATCGCATCATCAGTTTCAGAGAGCAAATTGAAAGTCTTCCATGTGTGAAGGCCGTCATGTAAGAATCATAGCCCCTTTCTAAAGAAAACATGACACTATTAGAGATCAACAGCATCTGATGTTATATTTATGCTTTTTCAATGTTTCAACTCTCTTTGACAGCTTTAAGACTAAACAGGGAGAGTTCTGCTGTGATCCTAGACAACGATGGGTGAAGAAGAAAGTTGAGCAGTTAGTTAAAGCCAAAAAGTATGGTGTAACATCACAGTATTTGTAACAACATAAAAAGCTTATAAAGCGTATTGTGATGCATTTAGTATTGTATTCACCTTTTTTTTTTTTACAGCAGAGTTTAAAGAAACAAACACCTGACTTCCACGCCACCACCAGCATCATCTATTAGTGACCAAACTCGAGTGGGAGGATCTACACAAGCAACTGACAGCTCACCAGTCAAGAACAGCAAAAAATAAACTCATAATGAGAACATATTTCTTAGTTATGCATTTTAAAACTAGATTTAAAGTTTAAGAGATTTTGCAGTTCTATTTTGAAAATGTTTGTAAATTATGCATATTTAAATTTAATATTTAAAATACTATATGATGTCAAATACATGTAGGGCAATTTGACAGTGACAGTTCTTAATTTATTCAGAAACTGAATTACAGTAAAACTGTTTTAGAATAAATGTGGTTTGAAATATTTAGCATATATTTCACATTGAAATATATTTCACTCAATGTGCTGGTTATGAACTTGTGTCATTAACATTAATGTGTCAAGAAGGCTAACGCAAGTCTGAGTGAATTTTAGACGGAGTTGTATAAGAACAAACCTGGATTTTTTTTTCATTTGAAGATGCATATGAACAACTGCAATCTGAAACTACAAATAAACTGTGATCAGCATCTACTGGTTTTGTTTGTGGTTGATGTTTCTGAATGTGTGCAAGAGGTCCTTCCTCAGACATGAAGACATCTTTTCTCTTTAGCCTCTTTATTCTTTTCTTCATGGCTGGTAGCTGGCTATGCACTATTAATTGTAATTTGTACTACTGATCATGTACATTTCATCCATAAACAAATGTTACACACTGTAGCATGAGTAAGTTGGTACAGTATAAACTTGAGTGCTGACAATGAGAAAGTCACTTTTTTTCCACATATTCATGTATGTTTGACTTCTCAGCTTAATTAAGGTCAATACCAAAATATCATCATAAAACACTTTAGATATTAAAAACACAATAGTTAAATCTTCCTTCAACTTCATGCACTTTTATGTCCCAGGGGTTGATTTTTATTCAACAGATAAAAAAAATTTTCTCTCTCTTATATGAAGGTGAATTAAAACTGTATGGAAACATTTAATTATGCCCTCATTTATAAATGATCCTTTTTTTTTTAATGTCTTTTATTTAAACATTCAAAGTCTGTAAAATATGGTCCAATGACTTGTGTGAATATGAGAACATTTTCTGTATTGATTTGTCACAGGTGTTTTCCCAACATTTTGAATTACGCATTGCAGTGTGTTGCGTTTTAGGGTTAAAGAAAATGACAATAAACATTAAATTACCAACCTTGAAATGATCATCCTTGACTCAGATTTTCAATCATCAAATATGAAACTCATAAAAAAATATGAGTAACAAACAATTGTGTGTATTTAGGATACATACAATTCTAGCTATAAATTAACTATATGTAAGACAAAGCAGCTGGCCAATTCATTCCAAAATTGGTTATTCCAACATTTTTACCACCATAATTTCTTCCACAGAATGAAATAAAAACATTAATACATAATGTAAAATGTTGAAATGAAAATGAGGTTGAAATGTTTTTCAGAAAAAAAATAAATAAATACAATCCACAGAACCAAAAGTGCTCATAGCTGAAGAAACACCCAGTTAAAATTATGTAAATATAAAAGGTTGTTTTTTTTTCTAAGATAAAAACATCCAATTACATCCAAATCAGAAACTCAACACTCCAACTTAAGACGTACGTTTTCAGTTAAAGTTATTAACCCGTAAACTCATTTAACCACTTAACTCATTTCATGTATTGTGGCCTGTTTTGCATTTTCTTTCTAGGGGGCATATAGTTTCTCATAAATTATGTTGATGGGTAAACTGACTGTATTGTGGGTGAGAGGTGTGAATGCTTCGATGATCACTTGAGGCAATGATTTCAAAAGTGTGGTGGTAAGTTTGTGACGCATTATTTCCTTCTGACTGCTACTGTACATCACTTAAAAGACCTCCGCAGAATAACTCACCTACATAATCAACACCGGCTAACTGACCAACACCCAAATTACCTTTGATTTGATTTGGACATCAAGAGCTATGGCATGGACTTCTAGATTAATCACCGTTGCTGTTCTGATCGCACTCATGGGATGTTTCACTGGCGCACTTGGCAACTGTAAGTAACTAAACATGCAGCACTCAATATTTCAATACCAAAGTCAATGTCACTGTCTCTTCATGTGCTGCTGATATTGAGAAACCTTAAGAAGAGCACTATATTTGCAGGATCTCATACTGCTGTGATCATGAATTTGACTTTTGTCACATGGGGTCTGCAGGCTACTCTTACTGGTTAGAGATTAGAGAGGAAGTGAATATCCTGTCTTCAAAAATACTATATAAAAAGACCTGAGTCTAGTTAGCATCTTCAAAACAGAAGCTAGCCTGCAAACATCTTCCTCGTCTGGTTATCTGAATATTTTACAACATCATGCAGCTCTGCAGGAAATTAGCTCTGATGATGATGGTGCTTGTGTGTGTTACTGCACAGCAAGTCAACTGTAAGTTTTATGATTTGCTATTATTTGATTTGCATTTCTATAATGCCTTTTGTTTTGATTATTATGGATCCTTTGATTTTTAATTAACTTTTTTTTTCCATTTACACTCAGATTTTGCATTTTTTATTCATTTAATTCAAACCAACATGTTTTCAGACTAGTATTGATGTTTAAAGGCATAATCTACCCAAAAAATGCTAATTTGGTTATCATTTACTCATCCTCATGTTGTTACTAACTTGTATGACTTTATTTAATCTGTGGAAGACAAAAGATGATATTTTGAAGAATTTTGGTAGCTAAACAGTTTCCGTTCCCATTGACTTCCATTGTATGGACCAAAAATATAATAACATTCAATGAGAACCGAGAATATCTTGTTTTCATTTTTTTGTGTTCAGCAGAAGAAAGAAAAGAATACAAGTTTGGAAAGACATGAGAGTGAGTAAATGATGACAGAATTTCCATTTTTTATGTGGATGATCCTTTTAATGATGGTGAATCCATTACTATATATTGCATTAACGGTACCACAGTTTTGTTTTCTTTGATGGAGCCCTTATCAAGATCACGATCATCTAGTTTTCACACATGCACACAATATAAGTACTGTATGCACACAATGTAAGTAAAGTGGAGATTTCAATCTCTGTCTCTCTTTCAGATCGTCGTCCCACTCGTGTTGGAGTGAACTGCTGTAAGGATGTGTCGAAAGCAAGAATCCCTCCTGCAACTAAACTGATTGGATACAAGCAACAGAATGCTCTGAGTCCATGTGTGGATGCGATAATGTAAGCTCTCTCTACAGTCTTATTTCACAGACGTTAATATGCATGATATTGTGTTCATTTCATTTCATCTGTCCTGCAGATTCTACACAGAGAAGGAAAAGTACTGCTCTGATCCAAAAGCGCGCTGGATTCAAGACCGTCTGAAAGGTACAACCCTAACATTAATATAACAGTTTAATATGATGCTTATGTACTGATGAAAAAACTCATAACATGATCATCTTTCCCCCAGGTCTGGAGGAGATAATGGACTGAGTCAATGGAGGCCTATAAGATGCTGCAGATCTATCTTTTATATCATTATGTATGTTTATTTAAGCAAAAAAAAAAAAAACATCTTCTATTAGATCCTCTAGCTTATGTGAGTGTTAAAAGCTGTTTAATCGCTTTGTTTTATCTGCTTTAAAAATAAAATGCAATTTTTGAAAAATGACCATTCAAGCTGCTTACTTTCACTCAAACATCCAGCCTTTTCTATGTAACAGTTTGGACTGTATTTAATCATATTTATGCTGAATCATTAAAGAAATAGTTCACACAAAAAAGTGGAAATTTATGTCATTCCCAATCCATATGACTATCTCTCTTGTGTATATCTCTTATAATGATAATATAATGTTACTTTATAATGTTGTTCTTTTTGAGGCATCAAAGATTTAATCCACCTGTAACTGAATGGAAATAAATAATATTGGGTGAAATATTCCTCTGCCTACTAACTATATTGTGTTACATTAATTGTAATTCTCCATCTAATGGAGAATATCACCTAATGCACAGAGTAGGTCACAGAGTAGGAGTGTCAACCCCGGAGTAGTTGGTTAACAACTAAACAAATAATACATTTTATGGGATTCATAAACAAATAAACATATTTTATTGTTCAAAGACGTTCAAAAACAAATACAAATTTGAATATTTGGTTTTTCCTGCTGCTAAGAGGACCGATGCCGACATATATGCTGCAAAGGTTTAGAAGTGATTCACGTATAAATGCCGGAATCACACTCAAAATGGCAGTGATTGACATACTGATGACCACAGCAATGGACGGGACAAAAATATGATACGTCAAACATGGGAATTAAGCAATATAAATGCAGACTAATAGATTAATAGAAAAACATTCACATTTTCGGTTCAAAATATTTTTTAAATGCTAATGCCATTATTTGTAAAAGTAATGACTTGTAGATCTTGTGAATCTTACTAACAGATACAGGATAATCAAAAACAGGTTCAGAAATTAACAGGGTTTATGACCATTTTACCTTTGGATAAAATGCTTTGTTTATCCATCAAATGGAAGTCTAATGGCCTAATGGTTAGCGAGTCGGACTCGTGACCCAAAGGTTGTGGGTTCGAGTCTCGTACTGGCAGGGATTGTAGGTGGGGGGAGTGAATGTACAGCACTCTCTCCCACCTTCAATACCACGACTAAGGTGCCCTTGAGCAAGGCACCGAACCCCCAACTGCTCCCCGGGTGCCGCAGCATAAATGGCTGCCCACTGCTCTGGGTGTGTGTTCACGGTGTGTGTGTGTGTGTGTGTGTTCACTGCTGTGTGTGCACTTTGGATGGGTTAAATGCAGAGCACTAATTCCTAGTATGGGTCACCATACTTGGCCACATGTCACTTCACTTTAAATGTATTCTAACTAGGTGGTTGAATAAAAAAGTTTGGACTTTATATTTAAAAATTACCTCAAGTTAGCATCAGGTAGCTAGTTAGCTAGCCAGTTAGCATCAGCTAACAATATTTTTCAAATAGGCTATTATAATTTAGTAATTCATAATTATTGATTATATTGATTATAATTATTTGGTGTAAATGTATAAAAAAAATTGCTTTGTCAGACTGGGGCCATTTTACCCCACCTGTGGGGGTAAACACCCCTTGGTACAAATTACATTTTTGTTAAAAATCTAATAACATGAAAACTCTGGACATTTTTCATTCTTTGCTTATAATTTATGTAATTGTAACTAAAACTATGATAACTTTTCTGGACACATTTAACTTTTGTTTCACAGAAAAAAATTACTCAGTCCCTTCTACCCTAACTCTCAGGCCATCCAAGATGTAGGTGCCTTCTTTCTTCAGTAGAATATTAAGAAGATTTTAGCTGAAACCATGGTCATAGGCTATGGTTTACATGGTAATAATCTTGTAAATAATGCTCAGTTTCATGCACAGACCAATCATTTCACTTCATAAGACTTTACTATATCATAAGGAGCCACAGGTATTAATTTTGTGTTCCTTGATATGCTTTTTGTTGTTCTCAGAAACGGGCAGCTGCTGACTTGCATTTTATAAATCACCAAGGCCCACGGTTTTAGCTATAATTCTTCTTTACTGTTCCACTCAAGAAAAAAAAGTCACCTACATCTGTGATGGTCTGAGGGTGAGTAAATTAACAGAGAACTCTTCCTTTAAGACAGTCACTTGCTTCATTCCTGAATCATCAATTATTCTATCAATTGCTTCATGAATCAGCCGTTTGAACAGATTGACTGAAGGAATGATTCTGTGGCAAAGGCAACTTGTCACCACCTACTGGCAGTTTTATTTTAATTTTGTAGTGCAAATATGTATTTTGTTGATACTGATTTAATTTGATTTGCAATTCATTCTTCCTGATTGTCTTTATTATTATACTTTAATTTATTTTTTAATTGAAAAAAACTGACAAAGTTTATAAATATAAGTTAAGAATTTGACATAAAAGATGACGCATACATTTAATAAAAAATGGCCTTACGAAGATTTTAAAAATTGCCCCTGGAAATCAGTTTAAGGAGTGAAATATAAATGGGAGGGTTACTTTCTGTCATTGATCAGAAAGTGCTCCTAAGAAGAAATGTAATCACAGAACCATGATTAACTAACGTTAAAGGTACATTATGTAACTTTTTTCCTTTCTAGTTAAAAAAACTAAATTGCATGCATTTTGAGCAATAGAATAGCGATAGCAAGCGGGAGTCCTAATTACTCTGGACCCATCATCTTTAGACATTTTCATACCATTCTTTGCAGCACAGTCTTTCACTTGGTTGATCATTTCTGCCACTGTGCTGTCAACTCTCAAGGCCTTTAGTCTCTCCATCAGAAGATTCACACACACTGTGGCTCCAAGAGCGTTCGTCTTTTTACCCTGCAGGCTCTTTGCCACTGCCTCACATGGCTCAAATAGTGCTTAACAGCCAAGAAGAATGAAGAGAGTTTTGCCTTTTAGTGCTTGCTTGTGAAGTCCATGTATTTTGACTCTTGTATCTCCTCTTAATCCTTTGACCTCCTTCAAAGTTTCGAGTGTAGTCAGTATAATAAACAACGTATGATAAACAACAGCGCTGAATCACTTTAGTTCACATGCACCATCACGTTGGGCATAAGCCCAAAAGGTTGGCGATAACATCTTCACAGCCAAACAATGATTCAAAGAGCTGTTTTTTGCTGATTTTTTGTCTTTTGCTGATGCTTTAATAAGAACAGCAAAACCCTGGAAAAAAATATATAAGCCTTCTGCTATAAGACTTACTTCATGTGCAACATCCTGAAGTATAAGATCAAGAGAATGATTGCTACAATGCACATTTAATGAGTGTGGGCTTACTTCTCTCAGCCGTGCCTGAACACCAGACAAGCGGCCTGTCATGTTATTATTACCATCAAAACAGTAGCCCTGAAGACAACTGATAGGAATGTTAAGTCTCATAAAAAGGTCTTTCACACACATGAACAATGTCTCCGCAGTAGTGTCGGGGCAGTTCTAAAATCCTAAAAAAAAAAATCACAATGTGACTCAAGATTACTGTCAACATACTGAAAACTGCAAGAAAACTGACTGCTCAGATTGTAGGTCCGTTCCATCATCAACTCGTACAGCACACCGTCCCAAGTAGTGTCACCTCTAAAAGACAGACCCTTTACAAAATATCGAGGATGTTTCTTGCCGTTTTCTGCTCTTTAGCTGCAATGTCAGATAAAATCGCGCTTATTGGCGTTTGCTTTAATCCAGCAAGTACTCTGACAATGTCTTTGTAAATATGCATTTTTTCATGCAAAGTAAATTTTGATGTGGCTTTCCACAAAAAGCCTATCTGTCTGCCCTTGCTCGGATACGATATGTTTTTGCTCTACAGCTTGGCAGCATGCGAAGCAAAACACGCAATCCATCTTTACATCTATAGCCACCTCTACTTATCAAACCACTGTGACTGAAAAGAACAGGAAAATGTTTCATCTCCAAAACTTTTGCTTGGAAAATCTTGATTATGTGGTTGACAGCACTGTGTTAATGTTCCTACCCCTCCTGATTTTGTTGCGGTGGTACTGAGATTATCAGAGGGCCCAGGCTCAGGTATTGGGACAGTCCCGCTACTGTTAACATGGATATCCCGCTCATTTTCTGATCTGTGCTGCTGGGAGTGAGACCATCATCAACAGTTCTTCTGTTATCAGACTCAGATTCTTTTTCAGATTTGCTTTTTTTAGATTCTGGTGGATTTTTAAAGAAATTAGACTTTTTTTTTTTTGACTAGCCATAGTTAGCTGACTAGCATAGTTATAATTAATAATTCATTCATTCATTCATTTTTTTTTCCACAGAAATTGTATTTATTTTATTAAGATGATAATTTTATAAATTATGACGTTTTATTAAAAATAATATTTAAAAAATTGTAAATATTGTTTTTACAATAGTTTAGGCCCCCTCTGAGGCCTGACGGTTCCCCACTGCTATTTACAGATATGACAGGAATGGGCAAATTAAGCTTCATGAAGCACTGAGGCTTTCCCCAGATTGTTTCGGGAAAAGATTCAAAGCTTCGTGTTGAAAACAGTGCCATCAGGTGGTTTGTAAAAAATAAAATAGCCAAAAACCTGCGAAAGAAGCTTCGTCGAACGAAGAGCCACCACACATTCCACAGATAGTTTATGTTACGTGCACAAATTAAAGGCTAAAATCTGGTTAGATTTTTACATTCATTTTAATATATTTATTCATTAATTTTTGAAAACATCCTTCCAGTAGTGGATGTGTTCCAATCTATCAGTAAAGGATGCTGTCATTATGACAAGCTGTAAAGGCATTTCAGAAGAATCTGACAGTATGGAGCAGCTACAGTAAGTGTGACAGCATTGTGAAATGCTAGCAAAACTCCCCAACAAATCATTTCAGTCAGCTCTTCCTTCCTATGTTGCTACATTTGACAACTGGTCAAACTAACAAGATATAATATATTTGAATTACTGAATAAAAATCACTCTATTGATAAGCTGAATGGTCCTATTGGCATATTAAAAGTTTTAAGCACACACTGAATGTATATCAGTTAAATGACTGACAGCCAGGTTAGAAATTAAATATCATGCAAGAATATTTCCCTATCAAACAGAGATTCCCACATCTACATTTACATTTATTAATTTAGCCCATTTTGACATTTAATTTGACATTTACACCTACTATCACAAATGAGATCACTCCCAATCTAATCTACACGGAAAGCCAGATGATGAAACACAACAAT